TCAGTAATACTTGAACTAGTGCAAAAATCAGAACTCCATTGTTGACATCATCCTCTATAAAAATTAGCATTCCGATTCTTGACTAGTACGCTAAAGAAGAATTTTCAGGCACGCCACAAGGTTCTGGAAAACTTCACTTGTTCTGCAGCTTCAAATGTAGTCTAGAGACATTTTTCAAGAGGTGAATAAGGCTAGTAAACGATCCTAACTAACAAGTGTTTTATGTGTATTGGATATTAGTTAGATCTAATGTTGACTAGGCACCATCAAACCCTATACAGGCATCCAAAAGTTTCAAAATTAGTGTAAATGGTGAGTAAGAGTACAGATGAAATGGTTCATCCAGTGAGAGGAAGGTGTGCAGAACAGTAAAACAGTTAGGATCACGCACAAAGCAATCACAAGCAACGAAAAAGGAAGAAAACTTACTTGCCCATCCTGCATTCCTTTCTCGATATCTACGGTGACAAAATCACCCTCCCTTTCATACTTCACATTTGGGCACTGCTCACAGACCTGGAAAGAGAACATAAGAAAACTTAAATAGATGTAATAGATCACACTTAAACCAGGGAAGCTGAAAATAATGCCTTCTGCCACAAAATGGAACTTAGAGCAGCTCTCGTTAGAAATAACGTACCTGCTCTGTCATCTGCTGAAACATCCCCGGACCAATTTGCTTGTGATAAACCTCATTTCTACAGTTGCAGCGCCTCTTCCCAGGAGCTGGTTTTATTACATTTTTCACCCTCCAAACCTGATGAATTCACATTCAAACGTTCACACACAAGGCAATTATGTAAATGCTATTGTGACTCATATTGACTTTTATCGTTTATGTGAATAAGTTCTGTTTCATTTCAGGATGTGCCATATTGAGTACCTTTAAAGTGCCTCCCATATATAGATCTTCAAGCGTGGCATCCAATTCAACAACCACATCATCACCTTTGATAACCCTTTCTTCCTCTTCCATCGAACCGCCACCGAAGAAACTGGAAATAGATTTCTTTATCAGCAAAGTAATTTATAGTGTCGTGGATGGGGTTTCAATTTCACAATCAACAAACACTCGCACATATCAAAGAGAACACCTTAGCTTAATAAACTAAAGCTATCAGTTCTGAAGCTCAATCTTACGAAAAATTCTTCACACTTCAAGGACTTTACACTGACTGATAGTTTGGAAAAAATAACAGAACACGTATTAATACAAATTAACATAAGCTAATAAGGGAACTTACGAACTAAAAATGTCTTGAATATTCATGCCCCCTCCTCCTCCTCTACCCCCACTAGCAGCATGCTGCTTCAGACCTTCCTCGCCATATCTATCATATATGCCTCTCTTTTCGCTATCCGACAAAACTTCATAAGCTACGAAATCGAACAATTCAAAACAGTCAAAATCTTCCAATTAAATGTGCCACGGCTTGCAACACTACTTTTTCCTAAGCTATTTATTATAAATCGACAAATAAAAAGGAAGCATGAGAAAAATGGAAACCATTATTGATTTCTGCAAATTTCTTGTTCGCCTCCTCATTTCCTGGATTCTTATCAGGGTGATACTTCAAAGCAAGCTTTCGATAGGCACGTTTTATTTGCTCATCCGAAGCTCCTTTCTGCACTTGGAGGATGTCATAATAACTCTTCCTGTTAAACAAATAACAGAAAAATCAGTGAAAACTCCTCCGAGAAAACACGAATGGCTACATTGACACTACGATTCATCAATCCTAATACTTACGCAGCAATGGCAATTAAATAGTACGACAAAAAGCACACGAGCAACAGTAATTTTGATCTTCGCTGCGCCATAGCACCCAGGCACAGAAATCAAAATCACAACACAGACCAAAAAAAGAAAAGCTAGGGTTTCAAATCGGATCTTCAAGCCGAATAAAATTAACAGCCTGTAGAATTTGCGAATCGCTTGATTAGAGGCGGCACTATTGTGCACGTCTATGTCGTATACGTATAAATGTGTATAATACGACTATAGGTTTCTTCTTGTGCGAGTGTGGGAAATGGTGAACCGATGAAGAAGACAATACAAAATTTTCATATTTGCAGAGGAAAAGGTGCTCTGATGGATCAATAAGCTTTACTCGAGTATGCAACGTGGTCTTGTGGGAACTGACCAATGAGAGAGCGTTCCGACTCGCTCCACCCAATGGGAGATTGCCACGTAATATACTTCTTTTCAGCGTACGCGGGTCGGTCGGGTCTTTTTTCATTATAAAAATAATTTTTTTTGATATTGTTTTATTATGCATAAAATTTGTAGATCATATAAATTTATTTACATATTGATTTAGAAAAAAAAGAAAATTACGAAGTCAGTTCCTAACGTGGGCTGATAATTTTGAATTTCTAAACACGTGTAAGCTATAGCCCAATAACAGAATTCGGGCTAAAATTACAATTACCCAATGACTAGGGCGGGTTCAATCATTTCCCTCAGTTTTAAACCCGCTGTAAAATCAGCCACCGCGCCGCCGCCTCTCGTCGCCGACGTACGGTGGCGATACTTCACCAAAGAAGATGAAGTCTAAACTCGCAGCTTCCATTAATTTATTTCGTGCTGGTAATATTCAACTTGCTCCCGAAACCCCAATATTTTTCCATTTTTGAGTTCATTTAACGCTCATTTTTTTTCTCTTCTTTTTTTGTTTTTCAGTTAATCGCAGTACTAACACACGCAATACAATACCTTCAAGATCAATGCTCGCTAATTTGCACCGCCGCCATTGCCTGATTAACAGCAGGTAAAAGTGTAGTCAGTTGTTCGAAAACGTTGTTAATTATCGAATAATTGTGCAAATCAATGGTTGATTTTTTTTATAAAAAAATTACAGAATCAACGAGTCCACAGTTTCTGTATGTGAAATTATGTTAATTAATTACTTTCTATCAGTCACGATCAGGGTTTTCTAGTAAAATATTATGTTGCTGATGAGCTGGATTTAGGCATACATTGTAAATAACTGTGATGCTGTTACAAAATTATAGATATACGAGCAAAGTGATGGCTATTGTAGCAGCAAACATGCAAATCCTTAGACATCCATAGCTTACATCTTTAAGTTGGCCCAGCTTCCAGGCTCAAGGTTTCGAGATATCCGAAAGAGCTTTTCACTCTTCTGCCAGCGAAGATGATGGTGACGATTTCTCGGAATTGGGACCAGAAAGTTCGGAGTGCTCTCTTAAGCAAATAAAATTAGTCACGGAGAAACGTGACCGTTTAAAGGTATGCATGCGCTTGGTGTGTCCTCTTTTCGAAGACGATAAATTGCAAATGCATTTGTCTTCCATTTATATTTTTTTTTTGTTTTTTGGCTTCCCTGTTGTCTTTAGAAAACTTATTCATCGAGAAGAGATTTGGGTGGTGCGGCTTCTTCGGATACCAGGCCTAATTTGAAGGAAATTGTTGCATCAATTGGCAAAGGTTCTCAAACTTCAAATTCAAAGATCGTTGGCCATGATCATGCTTCTGCTTTAGCTGATGGCACTAAGAAGATCTCTAATATAGAAAGTCCATGCCCTGTATCCATTAAGAATGTACCATCTACAGTTGGTCTCTCTGAACTCGTGGAATCTGTTTCGGTTTTCGGAAAAGTTTCTGGTGCTTCCTTTTTAAATGCATCTAACGGATTTAGGTGTTGCAACATTGAATTTGAGGTAAATTAATGTTTGTTTAATGTTTAAATTATGGCATAAGTTTATACACTAATATGTCTCGTGTTTTAAAGGATGTTGAGTCGAGCCAGAGAGCAATTTTGGTTGGTAAAGTTGCAGTGGGAAGTCAAGTAATGCCAGTTCAGCCTGTTGATGCTGTAGACGTAGTTACAATTAGAATCAAGAACATAAACAAAGACACTACTGATTTTGCCATACACTCCAGATGTAAGTCCGTCGGTGAATTCGTGGGATTGTCAAGGACAAGCGAGGATGCTGTAGATGCCTTCTTTAATGTGCGGGATGACAAAATCCACCAGAACATAATCAAAAAGTAAGAATTCCTCCTCATCCGCGTAACTAAATTTATAAATTTCTTTGTCGATACACAACTTGCTGCTTCTTGTTAGAACAGTGGATTATTATTTGTCAGTGTACTTGTAGAAGCATTCGTTTGCATGGGCATTTTAAGTTCTGATTTTACAAGTTTCAGATTTTTTTATTTTTTATTTTCGTGTGAACTAAGGATGTAATAATTATTTTGGTAGGTTAAACAATACAGTGGTTGATTGCAATGCGTGGTCAGCCGATGTACTCCAATGTAAATTGAAACCAACAGAAGAACCCTCGGCTAAGGAATCTAGATACAAGCTGGGCTTGCAGATTGTTGATCAATTCACAGATTTGAAATGGCAATCTGTCCTAATTAAAATTGACTTGGAGGATCTCGAGATTTTGAATACCAGCATAATGCACATAGAAGACCTGCATATCGACTGAGATTTTGTTTCTTTCGTTGTGTGTAGAATGTAATAAATAAGGCCTTCTAGCTTAGAGTTTTTTTTTCATTTTTTTAGCATCTCATGGATTGGGAACAAATTTGTAAGATTTTTTTTTCATTTTTTCATTTTTTTCATTTTTTCTCCCCTCGTCAATGTAAGATTTTTACCATAATTTTAGCATCTCATGGATTGGGAACAAATTTGTCTAGAAATGAATTGCATCGCAGGAGCTGAGAATTTATCTACGTTGGTTGTTTCCACTTTCTCGGATTTATTTTTGATTTTTTAATTAATCATGACTAATCTCACCAAAATGGGGCCTCAACATGAAAGCATTCAACCTCTTTATCTTCGAAACAATCCAAGAAAAATGACCATCTTTAGTTTGGATCACGAATTTCGGTTACAAAATGAGATCGAAAACGTTTCGCGCCTTCGTAATCAGAAGGTTAGTTCAATGTCTACTCAGAAAATATATAAATTTACAAACATGCAAATACACTAGGGGCCTCTGTAAGAATCATCATCATATCAATATACCAATACAATTTAAATCTTCGGATTTGCAAAAATGCCCTAAATTTAAGGCAAAATTTCCAAACAACCACCATCACTCACTCAGCAGCAGATTCATCCCCTTTCAACTCCACTACCGAAGTCCCGCAAGACTTATCCCCATCTTTACATTCCGACACACCCAAACTCGTACTTTCAGCAATCTCATACTCCTCATCAACATCAACATCAACCTTCATATACGAACACGCTCTATCCTCCACTCCAACATTATTACAAGATTCTTGTCCTAAACTTGCCGGCAATTCATATTGTGAAGACAACAAAGGCTGACTCCTCATTTGCACGGATCGTAAAAGTGCAGTTCTTCTCAAGTCGGCCGAGTGGCATATGTCGCTGGGCGATGATGGGAACCGGCCCTCGGTGTCGGAGCTGCGCTGACGTGGCAGAGAAGAAGCAATACTGCCATGTGGAGGATACGAAGTTGTGGCCCCACCGGATGTGAATCCGCTTATTAGGGGTTTTTGCCCCCTGTAAGGAGAAACTGGGCTAGTGGTCCCACTCTCCGGCTGGGAAGGACAGGTGTTTGTTGAACTCTCGTAATATCTCGAGTCGTCTGAATCTTCCGACATTGGTGATGATGTTTCTTCTCTGAAATCATAAATATGCGGTGAATATTTTTAATACAAAAATTAAATGAAATGCTTGTTTAACATGTAGTAACTCTACACGTGTAACACGCCTGCCCCGGCATACTATTTAATGGAGCATCGCTGGTGAAATTTTTTATTGTGAGATTCGAGCTTTGTTACCACATTAGATGGAGCTTTTAGAGGAAGTGATTATTACACAAAATGACACGTACACACGTAACCATCAAAACTAAAGAACATCGAATATTCCATTCATCACAACCAATACAAGAGTTTTTCGCATTGAATTAAATTGTCTTCCACACAGATCAACATGGATTTCAATTAAAGTGGAGCTACTTACCCCTCCCTATTTCTCAACAATTTCTACTCGTAATCAAGAAATTCATATAATTCTCATGTCTTAATAAGTTGATCTCGTTTTCGATTCAAAACAACTCATAAGGAAACTACATATTTAAAGTCACACAACAAAAACAACAAACTTAAAAAGCTCTTACAATCCAATCCAAAAATATCTTTAGTTACTTCATTTTTTTTTGTTTTTAGGCGATAAGCTGAGTCTTCATAATTTGTTACCCTCAATCATATAAGTCTTAACAAAATAAAATTACTCACAACAAACAAATATTAGATGGGGAAAAAATAACAATTATACTAACCTAAGATAGGGCAACATGTTTTCGGACCGCACCGGAGAATGCATAAGGTTTTCAGGCAGTGAATCTCCAACAGTCAGCCCATTCAAACTTGAAGCCATAACCTACAACAAAGAATATTCCAATGTAACAAACATTAGCAAACATTTTATTTTAATTTAAATCGAAAACGATTGACTATTGTAATTTGTAAAGCAAAGGAATAAATAAATGTGAGAATAAAAGCTTCCGACCTCGCTGAGATAACGCTTGTGGCAGTTCAGATTATCTATATAAACCTCATCTTCGGGATCTCTACCTCGTTTAGCCGTCGCCGACGGAGAAGACGACGGAGAAGCGGCGGCGGCGGCGCAACTTTCGAGCCCCATATCTCTCTAATCCGTCCGCAATTACGTCTTCGCCGCTGCTGAGTCCTGTCACTTTAATACATGTACTGAATTGAAAAACAAAAAAATCTGAACTACTCTGTAAAAACATTAATACGTGATTGCATTCCTTTATTGAACAGAGGCACCAAAATTAAATGAAAATGGTGAGAAGAAAAGGGCCATGTGGAACAAACCACAACTAGTAGTTTGGTTTTACTTTTTCAACTTCCTGAAAATCCGCATATTAAAGGCTTCTCTTTTCGGATGTTTGTCGGGTCATAATTATTGGGCCTATCGGGCCGGGTTTTATTATTCAGTGGATCTTAATTGTGTAGATCCAGATCCAGTTCTAGTTAGGCCCGTTTACTCTGCGAAAATCCAATTTTGGATCTAAAGTTTTTTTTTTTTTTTTTTTTTTTTTTTTATTTATTGATTAGATGCTTACATTATTTTTGTATTTAATTGATATAATTGAAAAAATTGTTTAATGGAGGCAGTGGTTGTTTACCTAGAAAATATGAATTGCTCCACGTGTCAGAAATGAACCCAGCCAAAAAGTTTGAAGATAATTAGTCAAAAAGGAGTAAAGCTGCTTAGTTAAAACTATATATTTACTTGCTTTGTAACGTGTTCGAATTGTTCAGGGCAACAAATGCGCTTTAGTCAATGCCTTTTATAGCGTCATTCAATTTCATACCATTAAAAGGCTTTGAAATTTAGAACCAAAATGTCACAATTTTATATATATTTAGAATACACCGAGATCAATAACTTTTTTTTTATCTGTATATTATATGATAAACGGAATATTACAAGTGAAAGAAAATCGAAAATTATAATCGAATTGAAAAAAAAAAAAACGAATCTCATATATATATTTCAATTCATATACAAATAGCAATTGCCATATCTTGTTTAGCGTTTTGCCATAAAAATCATAATTAATTGACAACACATCTTTCAATCTTTTAAGCTATATTATATAGTATATACATTAGATAATTGAATATTATTGAAGGAAAATAAGACATCGACATGAAAACAACACATGACAAACTAAACAAAAAGTTTATACATCGGACAACAGGATATTTACTTATTTAGAGAGAGAGAGAGAGAGTACAAAAAGTAGAGAGTGATGAAGAAGGTACAAAGCGTGGGGTAGAGATGTAACTACCAATAGCAAGATTCCGATCCAACACTACCCATGTGATGTGTGGTTATGTACACCAGCAATTTGTCTCAAATCAAACCCCCCATGTGGATACGTACCCTTCTCTATAATTTACTATATTCATTTTTATTATTATTATCATCTACTACTTAAATTTCATATAATTAAATACACTACAATTATAATGCCAAAATCTAATAGTAGCAAGAAATATGAATTAACACAAAGTTCTTAATTATTCCACACTGTAATCGAAATATAAATTGATAATAGCAAGAAAGCATCAAGAGTTCTATTGGATCAAATTTCAAAACGATTCTACACATAAATAATGAAGAACTTGGATTACATCAACTTAATTAATTATTTATGGGTACGTGCTAATTAATTAATTAATTATATTGAGCAGCAATCGTAATTCATAACGGAATAATTAAATAGAAAAATTACAACATAATCCGAAAACAATATAAGATCATCAAGATAAAGTGATCCATCATCACCGGATTAATTATAGCATTCTCCCATATACATATATGAAGAAGCTTTTTTCCATGGAAGAAGAGAAGATGGGGGAACGAGATCATAAACTATACATAAAAAGCTTAGCTGAATAATATAATAAATAATTAAAAATATTCAAATTTGGATTTTTTCACCTGGACGAAATGGGGTTGAGATTTCTAGTGAAACCGGTGAAAGCGCCATAACTCTTGGAGCTGAAACCCAGGCAGCCCAATAGCCCCTGTCTGTAGGGTAGAAACGTCTTTTTCTTCATCTCCTCCGCCTGAGCTCTGTTTGCTGTGTAGTGCAACTCGTGTGCTGACGGCGGAACACGGCGTCTCCATACGCCGTTAGTTGGTTTTCCTGCTGCCCGGACTTTCCGTCCGCTCCTCGTCTCGTCGCGCGAGGACGACGGCGATAGAACCGGCGACGGAGATGATTTCTTCTTGTCCTTCGCCGGAGAGAACGAAATCGTCGACCAGAACCTCTCCTTTGTGTTAATGGCTCTACCCTCGCTTTTGCTCCTGTGGAGAAGATCCTTCAGGAATATCCATTTCTTCGAGTTCCTCCCCGACGACGACGACCGCGACGACGATGCTGAGCACGACGGCGTCGTTTCGTTGGATTCGTTTTCCTTCGCTTCGTTAGAGGAGGAGGCGGCGGCAGCAGCGGCGGCTCTAAGGCCTTGCCAGCCGTGCTCCCCGCCGGTGCGAAACGGCGACATAGATCTGGCTTTCCGGTGAGAGTATTTAGTAGTACGAACCCTCAGATCTCTGCCTCTAACATTCGCATCCTCATTGTACAGATCCACAAATTGGGAAGCAACATGATCGTGTGGTCTCTGCAAGTGAGAGGACAGCTTCATGGGTCGGATCTGACCGTTATAGAACAGCTCGTCGGCCGAAATCATGGACCCGTTACCACCCGACCCGGTGGGAGAGAACCTGGAAGAGAACTCGAACTCGAACGAACCCGAATCGGAAGATAGAAACACAGTCTCGTATTCGGAGGACGACGATTTCAGTTTCTCGTTGGAGAGAATGTAATGCATTGGGCTGGCCGGAGCACTGAAGAAATAACCGCCGGACGGCGCGTGTCCGGGGCTGGACGGAGCGCTGACGAATGGGGTGGAGCACGTGCTGTCAATATCCTCACTGTAGCGCGGCGGCTCGGCGGCGGAGGAAACGCCATCCACGGCGGTGATATGGTCGGAGAGAGGCATTATTGGAGAGAGAAGAGGGAGAGAGAAAACATGGGGAAATGGGGTAAGGGTTTTAGTGAGAGAAAGTCTGTGAATAGACTGACTAATCTTGTTGGACACGCAATTATTGTACGCTGGAGCAGAGAGCAGCAGCGTTCTGAGCGAGGAGGAGGGGCACTATACTACTGCCATGTTTGGATCTTTTTTTTTTTTTTTTTTTTTTTTTTTATTTTCCTATTTTCACGGGATAAATAAAATGAATTAATTTTACTTTATACGTATAGGCCTATAGGGCTTGTCACTTGTGCTACTTTTAAGCGTAGCGACAGTGATCCAAAAGGACGGATAAGCCCCTTCTTTAATTTCATGTTTGGGCATATTTGGTAAGCGTGTTGCTACCCACATTAAAGATTGGTGGCTTTATCTCACCAGGCCCAACTCTATAAAATTAACTCATGCTTTAATTTAATTTAATACAATTAATTCATTACCTATCAATAATTTATTTTTTCATAGCAAATAGTGATTTATTCCTTTTAAAATATCATTACACTATTTTTACATGCATGATTACTTTTCATTAGTAGATTGATTTGCATGAATTTACTATGGACTTTACTAAATAATTTATAATTGGATTCCATACCGAACAAAATTAAAATAATATTTCGTCCATGAAAGCCGCAGTGGAACAGCTGAGAATTTACAAGCCGAGCCGACCATCATAATAAATCATAATGAAGACGTGGCGGCACGTGACTTCTGGTTCTTGTCACAATTCCCCAAGCTTGATGCTCGCGCTCCATTGTTTTTAGTTACAGAACCACTGAACCACAGTTCCACTATCATTTATTTAATTACTATTATTATTATTTCTTTATTATCAGATAAAAAATAGCTGGACTATGTACCAATATTTGGTATTCTGGGCCTGATAACGTGAAATCTTTCTTATTTCAATTTGGTTCATTTATTTAATCAGTTTTGTTTTTGTATAAGCCCATACTGAAAAGGTTTGAATGGAATTTTGGTCCTTTCCGAATAGAATGTTCAGCCCATATTAATTGCAGTATTTCAATCTGGAATATTCTTTCACAGGCCCATTAGTCTTTGTCACCTTCACTCCAAATAGTTATAGCCCAATTACTTGCAAATTGTAAACTACGTTAAGCATAGGTCCTGTATGATCAACTCGATCTAGAAAATGTCGGCAAAATAATTCGAATTTAATAACAATTTCAATAATAAAACATGATTAGCTTCATAATACAAATGTAACTATTATGTTTATTTATTTAATGTTATTCTATAAGTTTTTTATATAAATATTTGTTCAGCTTATGTCATTTTATGTTAAAATTTCTAAAAGAAGAAATTTGGCAACGCTGATTTTATGTCATTTATTTTCGTTTAAACATTTTACATTGAAAAAATCATTAAATTTTAACATTTAACAGTTTTTTTATTTTATTTTATCAATTATTTTCCTTTCGCAAAGTCAAATGTGAATACTACTCTCTTTTTTTTTTTTTAATGTAAATACTAATTTGAGAGGGGCCTAATAAAGGAAAGGCCCAAAGTACCTCACAATTATGGAAAATAAATAGAAAAAAATTATAAAAAAATATATATATAGAAAGGTTTAGGGCTTTAGGCTTTATATATGAAACAGAGAGTGCGACCGCAGTTTAATATAGAGAGGATAGTCCTTTAAAGTCAGGGAACGATTGCCTCTTCCCGCTTTTAACTACAAACACACCCCCTCGAACAATCAATTATTCCTCAGTTTATGCTACGAAGCAACATTTCTCAAACCCTAGGCAGAATTACAATCCAATCTTCAGTAATTGACTGCAAAAAAAAAGCCGAGATGAAATATGTTTTGGTTACCGGCGGCGTGGTGAGCGGCCTCGGCAAAGGCGTCACCGCCAGCAGCATCGGCGTTGTTCTCAAAGCCTGTGGCCTCCGCGTCACCTCCATTAAAATTGGTCTGTGTGTGGTGTTTTTTTTTTGAATCCTTACTTTTTTTTCTACCTGGCCTTTATTTGGACCTAGGAGGATTTATTAACATTAGAAGAATTTTTCATTTGTTTAGGGGAAGACGAAAGAAAAGCTTCTGATAACGTAATTGCATGATGCATTTGTTTATTAATTATTTCATTCTTTTTATGTAAGACATTCAGATACTTATGAAACAGTCACGAAACTGATGATTATTTTAGAATTTTCGTTTTGTTTTTATTCAATTTGGAGTTAGTTGATTGCCTCAATTTTTATTTGTGTGGATTGTTGGATTTGTTCATGTTCACATATAATATTCCTTTGCTTTATTTTTTATGATTAATTTACTTGTATCCGGAACTGTGAATTGAGCGGATTGGTTTTGGCATCACACATTTCGCATTAATTTAGCTTATGGATATTATTCTGTTATGTTTTATGAAGATGAATTTGAAATTTTACATTATATTTTGTTGATACATCTATTCTTTTCACTCTGCCAGATCCTTATTTGAACATTGATGCTGGCACAATGTCTCCATTTGAGCATGGGGAGGTTTTTGTTCTTGATGATGGCGGAGAGGTATTGTTCTCTCTTTTTTTGCCTCTTATGCAGAAATAATTTATTCATTTCAATTTTGTATTATGCCGTATTACAAATTTAACCTAGTTGTTGTCTCCCATTAAAATTGACAAAATATAAGTGGTAATTTTTAAGCGGGATCTAAGTCTATGGTGCTTTTGACTTCAAGCTCTCTTTATACTCAACATGCACGATGATAGCTATTTTGTTTTGCTTAAAATTGAAGTATTGCTCTCTGCTTATTTTTGAAATCTGCATGTATGTACATATGTTATTGGAACTACGTCGCAAATTTGAGAAACAACTCTGGACTGTACGAGTTTTTCTTGTGTAGATATTCAGTGATTCTTTTGAGCTTATTTATGTGTTGCGGAGCTACTACTTCAAACTTTTTTTATTATCTCAAACTCTTCAACTTTTTGTAATAGGTGGATCTGGATTTAGGTAACTATGAACGTTTTCTGGATTTGAAATTAACTAGAGATAACAATATCACTACAGGGAAGATATATCAGGTACTTCAGTTTCTATATACCTAGTGCATACAATTATAATCTATTTTTTTGTAAGGCACTTACTTTGTGGTTCCTTTGTTAGTCTGTGCTCGAAAAGGAACGGCAAGGAGATTATCTTGGGAAGACTGTGCAGGTTGTGATAAAATTATATTTCTTATTTTGTCTTTAGGAAATGACACTTATTGTTGTGCTTTGGTTTTCATTTCTGGTTTGAGTCCAGGTGGTTCCTCACATTACTGATGCCATTAAGAATTGGATCGAGACAGTATCTATCATTCCTGTGGATGGGAAAGAAGGTCCCGCAGATGTCTGCGTTATAGAATTGGGAGGGACCGTAGGTAAAAGTTCGCCTGATGGAAAACTTCCTATCAAGACCTTTGACACATCTAGAACCTTTATTTGTTTCTGCTCAATAGTCCCAATTATTGAGTCCCAATTGTTTCCATGTCAGGGGATATTGAGTCAATGCCGTTCATTGAAGCTCTGCGGCAGCTACTCTTCTCTGTCGGTAAAGTTGCATCACTATGTGCATCTTAGAACATGATGTATATGTTTCCGAGATTCATCCTTTTCTGTTTAGTGCTTTATCGTCTTGGGTTTCTTGACTATGTTGTGCTGTTCTTCGGAATGACTAATGTCTGAGCCTTATTTTTTTGCTTTCTGGAGATATTTTAATTTATGTTTTTTTGCCAGATTTAATTTTTTCTGCTTTTTCATCGCATTATTGGTTATATATAGTGCCCATAAATTTATTTACGTGTTGTTATTTGTTGCCAATGATAACAGAAAGGATTACGAGTCTCTGTCCCTTGACCTAATATGTGTCTAGGGAAGCTTGTAATCTATTCATTGCCCTTTACCATTTTTCACTTTTGGGTTTTTTCCCTTGTACAGGACAAAATAATTTCTGTCTGATTCATGTCAGTCTTATACCTGTTCTTGGCGTTGTTGGTGAGCAAGTAATATTCCGTCCCTCCTATTTTGAATTTGCAGTTATATAATTTGCGCAGCATTAACATTTATATAAATTACGTGTATGTCAAATTCCTGTCTCATACATGCCGGTCTCTGCAGAAAACTAAGCCCACGCAGCATAGCGTGCGGGAATTGAGAGCATTAGGCTTGACTCCTCATTTTTTGGCTTGCCGTTCAGCGGAGGTACATCATTCACGTGCAATACCTTTTCTTAGGGAAAGTATGTAAATAATTCAGATCAAAACTGAGTAGAGAAAATATATAAATAATTGAAGATTAAATTGATTAGAAAACAGATCATATATTATTTCCTTTTCATCCTATGTTGATGCTCCATTTTGATGGACCAGAAATATCTTCTCTGTAATAATCTTTTCAGGTTTTAAACAATAAAACTTTGAGCTTCAGCCTTGGTGTTATGAGTGGAAGGATTTCATTATTTATTTATTTATTTTATTGTGCAGCCTTTGTTTGAAAGTACAAGGCAGAAACTGTCTCAGTTTTGCCATGTCCCTGTAAGTTGTTATTTGCAATGCCTGTTTTGCATCATACAATACTTGCTGCTCTGCTTTTTCTGTCCTTTTTCTATTCTTATCTACCTATGTTGATTCACCTAGGTTGGCAATATCCTTAATATCCATGATGTTCCAAATATTTGGCACATTCCTCTTCTGCTTCGGGTGTGTATTCTTTGTCCGTAAACTTGGACGCAATCTCAATACTAAACTCTATGAAGATCTTTATTCTTTAATCTGCCATTTCATACTTTTTTCCAGAACCAAAATGCACACGATGCCATTCTAAGACACTTGGAGTTATTCAGGTAAGTTGTATTCTGCTCTTCTAGCTTCTCATCTAACATTTTACTCGTCTCTGTTATCCTTCAAAAGTCACATGATGTTAATACAAGCTTGAATAAGGTCTAAGTTTTTTATGCTCGCATCAAAACTTATACATAAACATGAATTAATCTGTAGAATAATTGAAATGAATCTTCCTAAGATAAAAATGTGGATGAGTGCTTTCATGACATGTTGGTGAATGTTCTGTTTCAGTGTTGCCAAAACTCCTAATTTAGAAGAATGGACCGGAAGGGCTGAGATTTTTGACAGCCTCACAAACTCTGTTAGTGTCCAACTACTTCTTGTACGCTTCTCTCATTACTTTTTTTATTTCAGAAGTAAGAATTTATGGCTGGTATTTCAGGTAAGAATTGCAATGGTGGGGAAGTATGTTGGGATGGCAGATTCTTACCTATCTGTTGTGAAGGTGAGAAAATACTTTTTATATGTTTTTTCTATGAAGCCACCAATAATGTACTGCTTTATCTGTATCAATTTGCGGTAAAAGTGTGCTTAGTTCGATTTAAACTCCTCTAAATAATCCATGCAGAATTATCCATGGTGATATTTCTTGGGCGTCTTTTGTCTCTTTGGCTATCCTTTTACAATGTAAAATAAAATTGTTGAAACACAGCACCCCTGGCACAACGATAAAAAAAATCTTATTTTTGCCTATTTTGATTACATATTTTTGTTATACCTGACATTTGACGAATCACCATTCACCACCATTCATAAACTAAACTTCCGTAATAATTTATTTATTTTCTGATGAGAAACTTACTGTTGTTCGTTTGGCAGTCTCTTTTGCATGCTTGCATCGCTAGTTCCTTGAAGCCAGCAATTGATTGGATTGCAGCTTCAGATCTTGAAGATGAGAGTGCAAAATCTGTAAATGCTCAATATTTTACTTAATTGTGATATTTCCCATTATTGATCTAAGAACCATATGTGTCTTAAGAGTCAACTCATACTTTTTTCCCAGACACCAGAAGCTCATGCTACAGCTTGGAGGACTCTTCGGGTAATGATCCCATCCTGGTTTTCTATCTTATCTTTTTTGCTTTTGTAATATGAAGGTGACCAGTTTCTCAAACTCCCTTGGTTTTGAGATTTTATACTTTCTATTCAAGTATTTCTTTGTACGTGTTGCAAGTTTATCTGATAACAAACCAATCTATATTTTTAGAATGCTGCATGTGTCTTGGTTCCTGGTGGGTTTGGTGATCGGGGTGTGAAAGGAATGATCTTGGCAGCAAAATATGCCAGGGAGAACAAAGTCCCATATCTTGGGATATGTTTGGGCATGCAAATATCTGTGATCGAGATAGCGAGAAATGTAAGATGTGTCTTTTTATAATAGACAGCCTTTTCTTATGATCAATTGTGGACTACATACATTTTTCTTGATATATATACAGGTTTTGGGCTTAGAGAGGGCAAACAGCACTGAGTTTGATGATCGCACCCCCGACCCCGTTGTGATTTTCATGCCAGAGGTAGTTTGTCACTCACATTTGAAGATATATTACTTTTAGAAGTATTTACCTCGTTTGATCACTGACATGTTCTTTAACACATTTCTTCAGGGTTCAAAAACGCACATGGGAAGCACAATGAGACTTGGTAGTCGAAAAACGTTAGTACAGACTCCAGATTGTATAACTGCTAAGCTGTAAGTGAACTGTCTCTTTTTTCGCAATAAATGATTTTGTTTCTATAAGATTACCAAACCTCTACTATCTGGGCCAAACTTTTATGCTTGCAATTTTTTTCATACATGAAATATGCTGAGGCTTCTTATTTTCCCATAGGTACCACAACTCGGAGTATGTGGATGAACGGCATAGGCACAGATATGAGGTTTTCATTAATAAATAAAAAATATTGGATTTACTTATCTTTATATTTCGTACTTGCAAACACATCTCATTTCGTGTCAATTGCTATAGGTGAACCCTGACATGGTTAGCATCTTGGAAGAATCTGGCTTGAAATTTGTTGGGAAGGATGAAACTGGAAAACGAATGGAGGTTGGCTTAACCTGCATGTCTTTCAATTACTCTCTTACAATTATAGCTGTCCTAATTTGTGGTTGATTTATTATGATATTCACTAAACCTACATATCAGTAATTCAATCTGCAAATCTCTCTCTTATATCTGTAGATTTTGGAGCTCAAAGATCATCCTTTTTATGTGGGAGTTCAGTTTCATCCAGAATATAAGTCCCGCCCTGGGAGACCCTCTCCTCTATTTTTAGGTAAAGGTTCTCGACAGTTAGGCTGCCGGTAAAAATGTCCTTAAATGGAATTTCCTCATGTTGTATTATTGCATTTAAATTTTCAGGTTTCATTTTGGCGGCAATTGGAAAATTAGAACCGTATCTCCAAAACCCTCGAAATGGAAGACTGTAGGATCACTGCAGACCGCAGTTGACGAAAACGGTAGTTGCCAAATGACCCTATTAGTATTTCCTTGTAATTGTAATAGCAGTACTTATATTTCATTCTTACAAGGTTTGGGAATTTAATAACCAGCAATAATATTACTGAAATGTATTCAGGGATGGCAGGAAATCAGGAAGGAACTCGATGGGGACGAAGAATCAATTTTGTGGTGCTTTTGAAAGATCTGCATATGTTTTGATTCGGCCAACACAACTTGTTTTCGTCGTGAGATTTGGCCGAAATAATTTATGTTTCTTTCATGTGTGAGAGACTTTACCATAAATAATTTAGATTTTTTATTGCAAATTGTAAGTATACTACTACTATTACTAGTCATGGATCTTTGACTAGTTTTGCAGTGAGTGCAAGTGCATGCAGCACTAGAGACTTTGTTTGAACTAAATTATATTTCCTACCTAGTTATGCTGATACTTCATGTTTATATTTCCTTAGATTTTGTTAGGCTTCGCTGGGAAGCACAAGTCAACTTGACCATAATAAGATATTTTTCCCCCCAAAGTATTATGCATTTTGCAAATTCAACTTCTATAGCTAATATCAAGTGCAAAAATGAACCGAAAAAAGTCCGTGTTTCTTCTTCATCCACCAAAAATGACGTAACGTGAAATAAACGAGTTGGAATGCACAAAAATAGATCCACCAAAAATGACGTAACGTGAAATAAACGAGTTGGAATGCACAAAAATAGATCAATAGATACATACAATTTGAATACTAATATACTCTTTTAATCGAAGATATATCCCTTTGCAGCTTCATTTGCTCGTAAAACTTAGCAATAAACATCTCAGCCTTGACGTCAATCGCCTCATCGTAATACTCTTCCTCTTCAACAAAATCATCACTATCCTCGCACCACACATGACTGTTCTCATCATAATAATCTTCATCACAATCGAAATCCACCTGCGGCTTTACAATGCAAGGCATCTTGAAGCGCAACGAAGAACAAGGCCTGTGCATTTTGACGTGTACGACGGGAGTGTCCTCGAACGAGAACTCCCGGTCACCGTAAACGAGGGCCCCACGGTTGTGCTCGTTCGAGTCTGTTACCTTCTTTATTATTCTTGTGATCACTCTTAAATTGACGATGTGCCTGTTTTTGAAGATCCCTCCTTTTTTGGCCCATTGGAGCGATAACCGCAGAATGTTCCAACCTCCTCTAACTGAGCTTTTTTTCCACATTTTTGTTGGCTTTTCTTGCATGTGCATCAACTTTTCTTTTTTTATAATATTTTTTGGAGAGAATAAATAGTGTCGGAAATGGTAGGTTGAGAGAAGGATGTTTGCCTTTTGATGAGAAGTGGGAATAGTGAGGGGGTATTTATATAGAGAATGGAATTTGTTTAGTTGTTAAACGTTACGCGGTATGGAGATAAATTGTGGGTTTTTTTTTTCTTTATTCTGTACATCTACTAAATGTTGGTTTGTGGGGCGGTGTACTATGCAGTCTGCGGGACATTGTGTTTTTACCAGGGTGCCCCTGCCTCATTTGAGATTATTAGTCATGCCGCCATACTGAACAAGGGCATTCTTGGAAATATAGAAATGGAGCAATGATTGGGAGAAATGGCCGCAATTGTTTGGCCAGCTAAGCACGGTTTGGTTTGACGTAGCTTTCACATTATAGTTTATATTTGCAAGAAAAATCCCTGAAATGAAGGTTCATCAAGACTTGGCACAACAAGTAAACGTCTTAATATATGTTTTATTAAATCTATAATTTAAATCTCATATTATTTTTTTCAAGATTGCTGATTTTCTAAAGCAAATTCTTACTTCAAATAATATTAAATATTTTTAATTATAATTATAAAATCATAATTTGCAGTAACGAGTAACGACACACTACTGGCAACAACCAAATAAACGTTTGTAGATGCATGATTAATTTTTAATTTTCAATATAAACAACTGTCAACTGTTGTGATTTAAAATAAATATATAATATATATGAAAATGACAGCCGGGGTCAGAGGAAATTTAGCAGAAAGCGTGGTGCACCAATCCAAAAAAACACGCTTTTAAATATTATGTACGTTTACTTTGAAGGAATCTTCCCATACAAGATTATGGTTCTTTTGGTTAATAATAATACGGAAGAAATTATGGACTACGTTTCTTAAACATTCTCATTTATTTTTATTTAATTACAAAAGAGATGCAATAAATGATTTTGCTGCATATTGAACAAATAAAAAATTAAATATATATATATGAGGTCATGGTGCCACCAGGAAAACAATCAAAACAGTGGAAATGAACTGGCAAACTACGTCAGCAATTTCCGTTCTTTGTTGGTCCTACCTAAATTGCAACAAATTCTCGCCCATAATTTTTTAAATTATAATAATATACTTCAAATAGGTGAAATTCATCAGGTAACATATAAAAAATCAATATATATATATATATATATATATATATATATATATATATATATATATATATATATATATATATATATCTCTTTATATATAAAAGAAAAATCCGGGAAAAAAGGGGTGCAGGAGCAGCAAGTTGGCAACTTATCAAACAACCTAGCTAATTATAGGAACAATAGGCCAATGTATTTGACAACAGCTAATAATACTTCATTTGCCAATCTGCTCCACCGGCTGGATTTTGATTTAAAAATATTTCAAGTTAAAATGTCTCAATTTAATTAAAAAAAAAAATTAAAATGAACAATCTCAAAATTAATTTATCATGAAAAAATAATTATGAAAACCTTATTTATATTTTATTTTCTCGGCCCAAATTCCAAAAGAAGAAAAGGAAGTAAGTATACAAAGCTTGGAAGGCCCAACTACTAAAGGCCCAATTCCCTTTTTTCCGGAGTTTTACACACCAAGATAGTTGATTCTTTTATTCTTTTTAAGTTTTGTTTATTATATTTATGTAAATACATATACTTAGATGTAATTATGTATATAAATACTTTTATGACGCGCATACGTTATCGAACATTAGTCAAAAAATCATAACCTTCTTATGACGACGGGCCAATTATAAACGTCGAGATATCTCATAAGACTATATTTTAGTGTAATTATGCCAACTAACATAAAAAAAAAAAGTAAAATATAAAAACTTCAATCATAAAATAAAAAAACACAACATATATATATTCCATAAGTCAAATTATATTTGACATGAATATAGTAGTACATAGTATCATCCAAATTTCATGGAGAGAATTGTGTGTGAAACATTACATGGAGATGGAATTTAACAATAGCAATGACAAAAATGATTTGGTGGTTTGTGTTTGAAAACTTTGCAATATCCACCTTTAGAGCATTCACTATCCAAGCACAATTGGTTGCACTTTGGGTCATCTTGTATTGGATTACATTCGCCGATGTGGTTGTCGTAGCAGCACACCAATTTGTCCTCGTCACCATAAACATGTTTTATATCAAATGATGCGGACGATACAATAATAAACACGCTTATTACTAGGAACATTATCGGCAAAAACTTAACACTCCCCATGTTTATGTTTTTGCTTTTCCTCTATTTTATTTATTTATTTTTTGTCTTATAATTCATAATAATAATAATCCGTTTTTATAAGCATAAATTCATACCTAATATACATACATACATACATACATAGAGAATTAAGGACTTCCAATCGTATGTACTGTTGGTGTACAATATTTTAACCCTATAATTCCCGCAAAAACTACTTTGGACCATTCAATTTTTTGCATCTACCAATACCAACCTCAGAGGATTACAGATATTACACTTATGCCATTCACTATTTTACCCCTCGTATCATTCAGCTTGATTGTACGCTTTCGGAAGCATATTAAGTTGGGGTTACATGGGGTATATGGTAATTTACAAATAAAATTCAGTAGCCATATATTTATATCTTAATATATATATAAATATGGAGGGCAAAAGGGAGTTTGAAAGCCTCGCCCCATAAGCTTCTCTCCCTACCTCTACCCTGCTATTTGCAGGTAGAGGCTTCCGCAGAAAAACGCAATACACACCACTTACTGTGTGTAACGGAAAAGAGAAACATACGTTCAATTTTGGAAAAATAATGACGGAATCCATGCCGGAAAATGACTTCAATGTTGCCTCTGACAAGACATCCGCCGTCGCCGCCGATGATGGCAAGCCGCCGCTGGTCAACGCGGAGAGAAAGAAGAAAAAGAGCGGAGCCTTCGGCATTTTCCGGGCGGCGCTGCTAATGCTGCGTAAACGGCCGGGGGAGAAAAAGGCGGCGAAGAAAACGGCATCCAAACAGAAAAGTACGGCTTCAAACGGCAGTTGGGCGAAGCTAGTTGGATCTATGCGCCCCTTGAGTGGCCTGCAGGAAGCCCCTGCGTCGCCGCCGCATCAGCCGCCGCCCGTCGCCGCCGAAGATGGGGAAGCAAACCCCCCGCAGAAGCAGGCGTCGGCTGTCGCCGATGAAGGCGCAATTGAGGATGAAGAAACAATTCCGGCGCAGAAATCGGCGTCGGCGTCGCCGGATCCGGCAGAAATCAGCAGAGAGGAAACAATATCGGCGGCGTCTCCGGCGGCATCTTCTTCATCTTCATCATCATCATCATCATCTTCATCACGCGGCACGATGAGCCAGTACGCGTCGGCGGCGAGCCTTCGAGATCTGTATAACAGCAGCGACGATGAAGACGAAGAAGAAGAAGAAGATCCAGATGAGGTGTTCGACGCAATAACAGGAGATGAAATGATTGACGCAAAGGCCGAGGAATTCATTGCTCAATTTTACAAACAAATTCAACTCCAAAACACTGCCAAATCTCACCACCACCATTATTACAGGGGAATTTAATTTAATTTAATTTATAATATATATATATATATATATATATATATATATATATATATATATATATATATATATATATATATATATATATATATCTGATAAACATGATTATCCTACTAATTAATATAATTAATTATCTGGAACTGTGACGTAGGAAGTTTTTGCTTTTTGTGATTTTGAATTTTACTTTTTTTTTTTTTTTTTTTTTTTTTTTCTGTTCTTTGAGGTGCAAATGACACTGAAAAGGATAGTTTCTACCTTTGCTTATGAAGTTGCATTTTATTTTAATTTATTTTTGTAGTGCAAGTTAATTGATTTACCAATGGGGAAATGGTTTCTATTGAAATTAAAGGATATAAGAAACTGTGTGATTAATAATCAATTAATTAATTTCCTTAAATTAAATGAATTAGAATGCATGTTCAGAAAAGATGATGGCTGGCACGTTTATGACAGATTATGGTGACATTCTTCGTGCTCATGAATCATGACATCATTAAAAAGTCTTTTCAAATTATTTCCAAGCTTTTCATATATATTCAAAATTAAATTGAAAATCAAACTATAATAAAATAAGCAAATATTAAATGAAAAAACACATTCTCAAAACATACTTTGTACAATTTATCCAGTAGTGTACGAGATCTAAATTTTGACACATTTGATATATATGATAAACAAATCCAGTAAATTACTATCTTAATTTCCACTGAATTAAATCATAGCAAATAAAATGAAAAAGGAAAATAGAAATGAAATAT